TTAGATGGTGATTGAAGGTAGTCGACAGGAAACCATGGACCCGGGTTTCGTGCTACTTGGCAGTCGTCAGAAAGGTGTACCTGTAATCTCGAGGGAACTGGTGTTCCCTGACGGATTCGACCCCCTGTTACCCAGCTCCACAGTCAGAGACGTTACAACTGAGCTATCCGGGCCGCGACCGACCTCCTGTAGGACTGAAATGTAATCACAATTGATTGCAACTTGGTCGATAGCATTAGATCTGCACTAACAAGGACTTGACACACATGACATTGATCACCACCCAGTGATCAATCAATTGTGATTACATCTGTCTATAGTAACTCAGATATTAATTTGATTTAAAACCTAGTGAATCTTTGTTTAATAGATAGTGTCATTGTTGGACTTGCGCAACTCATACCCGTCATTCAATATCTAATTGTTGTAACTAGGTAACCAACTTTCTTACGTGGGGTGTCGTTGTTGTTATGTATATATCAATTCAGTTTAATCCCAATTTTTACTGCTTTTACTTGGCTATCGGGAACCACTGTAATTTCCATGATTTAAAGTAGAAACACAAAGGATTGATGCAATAAAGATTTATTGACTACCTAAAAGAGCACCTCTAAACAAAGTTCCAAAATGAAATCCAACAACAACATTAGACCGAAATACAATGATTTATATACTTAATTTAACACAAACCTAATAATATCACAGTTTCCGCAAAAAGACATACAAGTATAGTTCACCTGGATTAATACGGGGAATATAATTGTCACATTAAACAAGAGTTCACATTTGTCATATAGAACAAAGCTTATACCTGATAAGTCTTCTAATTAAACGCTAGATTCGGTTTCCAAAACTTTCATAGTAACCCCCAGGCTGAATTTACACAGCAACTTGTACACGAGAGAAAAAGCGCGAAATGTGGGAGAAACGCTTTATTACAAGAAACGTTTGTATACGGAAAATCTAGGGTATTTATAGCATTTCACATGGCCTTGGGCTTCCGGAAATTTCTGGAACGTCACTATGCATAGTAGCAGTATACGCAGTCATCCAGTCAGAAGCGCGAAGTGTGAATTTTCAGTTTCTAGATATTTCTGGCAAAACTTCTATTGAATGATAATTGGATAAGGTGTTTCTCAGCGTTTTTAGAGCCTTTTTGACTTTTTTGAGGAATTTTCTGGATCTCCCCAACAATACCTAATCGATACAAGAAAATATTGACTTCAAACTCTCACTTCGAACGAAATTTGCACCTGTCACCCAGGCCGTAATTCATTAGGAATTGATACAAAAAAATATTGACCTAAATGGTGCGATCTTGTGATCTTGTCATGCCATTAATGAACACACACCATCCGTATAAAGAAACTGTAGTGTGGTTAATCTGGAATGCGAACTATATATTGTAAACTTATAACTAACACTTAATAATCTAACAAGTCGATGAAAAGATCGATAAACAGTAGTTTTCAACAAATTTTATATAGCCATTATGTATTGCCAGCATCATAGACTATTATCCGTAAGTACTCATCTTTACACCTGTTTTTATCGACTACATCAGCTTTGTTTGCTTACTAGAAAATTGAATGTTCAAGTTAATCCAGTCTGAATGAACAACTTTATCAGACATTTTTAATCATTATTATTTGGTATATGGAAAATAATTCGAGATTTTTCCCAAACACTTTTTTAGATGAGTACACAGCCTGCTATGTTGTTCATCGTACCAGATTTCTGCAAATCTATACGATTTACAAGAAATAAGTAAATTACCATTAGAAAAATTAGAATGAGACAGACAAGATAAGTAAAATATCCCTTATTTCTTAACTAAAAAGCTAGATATAAAGAGAAAGGAAGAGAAAGGGTAGTTTAATTGTTAGAAATTGTTCCATTTTACCTGTATAGTCTTATTCAATCTCTCAGTTAATCTGAACAGTATTGAAAGAATATACAACCAACGATTACTACTAACAGTAATAATACCAGTTGTTAATGCTAAACCAATGACTATTGTTTCATTAACATTTCATTTGCTTTTTGTGGTTGATTTACTGTATAATTTGATAGTTAACTAATCTAATATTTGTACAGTGCCTACTTCTAAGTTGTAGGTGCAATATTTGCTTAGTGGTGTTGTGTCTTGTTATTGGGGTTCAGTACGACCTACGACGTTACGGATTTAAGAACAAAAACGACTGAGTTCCTCTAATACGACCGGTTCTCTTCAGAACTGACAACAGTCAATTATGCTCAAAAAATCAAGCCTCGACAGCTAAGACAGGAAGAAGACAGAATTGCAGGTGACTTGATATTTTGATAGAACAAGGAACTCAAACGATATAGCTACGAAAGTTGTGACTATAGTAGTAGAAATTTAGAGAACTAAAAAATTTGACGACTACTCAGAGGGTAAAGGCGGAAAATCGAATTGGTAGAAAGTATCCTAGTGGTTATCGTTCTTGAAGAGATTCTAGCCCTTCTAATAAAATCTGACTAGTCTTGAGACCGCCTTAGCAAGTGGTTATTAGCTACATGCTCAAAAGTTCATGTTCAATGATAAATCTCAGGGATACAGTATGCTTATTTATATTTAAATCTTGATTTTGATGTTCTGTCAGCTGATAAATTTCTACAAAGAATTCTCCAGAAATTTCGCAGAAACCATAAAATTGTCATCCACAGTTCATTTAACTTCAATCAATTTGTTAGCTAACTTTTGTTTTACAGTTCCATATTTTTCTCAATTAAGATGTAACATTCTTCCTTGTGATAAAGCAAACAAAAGTCGTTCAATCCTTTTGCCTAATTGACTTTACCTTAATGAAGATCAGTAAATAACACTGAACTTAATGTATCTTTCATTTAGCAAAGTTTTAGATCTGTCATATTGAAGGTGAATGAAAACTGTTATCATTTAAAGCATTATTAATTGTGTTTCGTCAATCATAACATTAAATGGTTCAACATTTTCCACAATGATTGTATTTGTTTGGGTTATTTGAAAAGCTTAGTTTTATTTCAATTTTATTTTCATTATAAATCCCACAAAGAAGTAGAACCAAAGTAGGAATTAAACTTAGAACTTTTTTATTGTGGTTGTGAACATGTAAATTTATTTGACTGTTGGAACAGTCATGTAATGCGACCAATGAAAATCAAATAACTTCTGATGTAGTTGACTCTATTATTCATGACTTTTAATCACACTTCCAGGATTCTATTTTAAAGGCTAACTTAAATGTCAACTATCATATGGTTCCTTAATTGGTAGCAGTCTAGGACAAATAGTATGTACAAATTAATCATATTTGGTAGTTATTTAGTCTTCTATTGACACTATAGTAAAACGGTATTAAGCATTTGAACATTAAATAGAAAAAAGTATAGTAAAATACACTGTCAATTGACTAATATCTAATTAGCAGTTGGGGTTTTGTGGAGATTTTAGTAATTTCAATAGTTGAAATCATGAGTCAATTGAAGCTAGACTACCATGGACAACCTGGAAGCATTGGACAGCCGTTTCGTGGATTGGTTGAAGTTAGACATTAACACCGATGAATGCCGGCTCAGTGGTCTAGTTGGTTAGGCGCCTGGCGCGAGACTGACAGGTCCTGGGTTCGGATCTCGCGGGAGCGGGAACGCGGATGCGCACTGCTGAGTAGTCCCATGCTAGGACGAAACGGCCGTCCAGTGCTTCCAGGTTTTCCATGGTGGTCTAGCTTCAATTAACTCATAATATCTAATTATTAATCATATTATACGGATACGGTAACATTGATCACTTTGTAATGATTACATCATTACTGCAAGTTAAAAAGTCAATGATGTACCATTTAATTTTATAACCTCTTATACAAACTAGTATATGGAATTTCTTTCTAATTTCAAGGTAAGTATCATACATAGTACAGGGTTGAGAAATAACAAGTAAACTAATTACAATTAATATATATGATTGCGCAATACGCTTCATTTTCAACAAGGATATCGGAGTTGTTCAAACATTATTATATAAATAATCAATTTTTAAAGAATGTATTATATATGAATAATTCTTTTTGTTTTACAACAAATGATACTATTGAGCATGTAATAAAAATAATAATAACAATATAGATGTTGTAAGGATTATAATGAATACCATATAACGAATATATGAATATTTCCTAGACAAATTGTAATCGCATTATATTTGCGACTAGAGATTTGTTTTGCAGATAAATATACTCTAAACTATATCGTCATCATCATTATTATCACCATCACTACCAATGAAAATAAAGAAAAACAAAAGGAGCCATAATATTTATAATAGTTGTGACGTAATATTAATTGCAATTACGTGATCAATTTTTTTTATATCCTTCCTGTAAAATTGATTTTAATCATTTTTTTAAGAAATGTATTCTTCAAGTTATGACAAAAGACAGTGAAAGAGACAGTAATAATAATAATAATAATAATAAATGTAACAAATAAAAAAAAGCCAATAAATGAACTTAGAAAAATCAATAATTCAGTACTCTATTGTAAATAATTATTGTTAAGTATTGAATGTAATTGAGTACAGTTTTCATATGTTCATTGCATGTCATTGTACAGTTATTATTATTATTATTATTATTATTATTATTATTAACAGTAGTAATATTGACAAGAGTATTCATTAAAGGGAATTGTTTGAATATGTATAGTTGACAAGCAAGTACAAGTAGTATTTATTTGTTTACACAATGGATAAATTAACCAAGTTATATTTCAGTTACGTATTAGTTCATGACAATACATACTATAATATGTATACATTGGAAGTGATAATTCACTAATGATGTGTATAGTTACTTACTAGTATTATTGTAGTCGTTAAAGTAAATATAAAAATAATTTACATTACTTTTAAATAATTTTATTATTATTTACTATAATCTTCATCATTTGTTTCACAATTTATTGTTTCAATTAGTTGTTGATATCGGTAAATTACAATTTACTTATTGTAATTTGTTTAAATTACGCTGTGAATTAGATTTTCGTTGATTACTATGATTATGTTGTTGTCTGTTAATGGCAGATTGATGTGATTTTGTATGATGTACACGAAAAGCGGTATATGATGAAAATTCTCTATCACAATCTGTACATGATACTAAATTGGAAGGTTGAAGACTCCGTTGAGATAATACGGATAATGATTTTTGCTCAGTAGTATCAGGTGATTTATAATTATTTATTGATAAATCTTCTGAATAATTTATGGGTTGTTCTTGTTCTTGTTGGGGTTGATGATGGCGATAATGCTGTTGCAACAGTATGTTTGGAGTAGTAGGCGTAGAACTGGTGGTTTTCATATTCCAATCAATACTAGAAGGGACTGTTTCATTTAATGAATGACATCTCATCAAAGGTTTGATTAAGTTCACCGTTTCTGTTGTTGTTTCCGATAGAGATCTATTATATTTAGAATGTGCTGAGATTATATGTTCTTGTAATCCTTGAATATCTTGAAATACATGAGAATCTTGACGACAGATTGAACATTGAATGCCTGATGAGTTAGGTTGATTATTCTGCCTAATACAATTATGTGATGTACTTGTGAGATCTGTAGGTTCTTCTGTTGATAATCCTGAACAATTTGATTGCATTGATGGTATTTCTATGGCAGACTTTTGTTGCATGTACAACAAATTACTATTATCATGAGTTTGATCATTATTTATGGTTCTTCCTGTTGAACAATTAGAACTGATGAAACTAGAGAGTAGATTGAATAACTGTTGATTTGATGTGGAATTTGGATTCATAAACATATTTGAATTAAATCCATTCGTTGGTAATAATGCAGTAAGTAACGCATTTGATGTTAATGATAATAATTGTTGACGTAATTCATCTGATTGATAGGCATGCATTAAAAACAATCGTACAATCTCTTGTATTTGTAAACTATTTTCATTTTCTTGAGTCATATTACCAATATCAGTAACACCATTGCCAATATTATCATTGATTGATGGTCTAGGTGAATTTGGACTTTTTAACGTCATGTTTTCCTTTGAACATTTGATACTACTATCAATTTTTGAAGTAGTCACACAATTATCATCAAACTTACAAGTTGATAATCGAGATTTTTTATTTGTTGATGGTTGGTGTTGTTCTATTTCATCTATATTATCTTTAACCTCATTAATATTCGCATCATTCTGATCTTTTAACTTATTCATTAAAGCTTTCCGTTCAACAGCTCTTAAAGCTTTTAATTCTAGTAATTTGGTATTTTGTACACTACTTGGTATAAGTTTACCTTCTTTAATTGCTTTTAATTTCAACACTGGACAATTACGCCCACGATGATAATGTAGATTACTTGGAGAAGTATACCGTTGTCCACAATCATCACAACAATATGGTTTTTGACTTGGTTCATAATGTGATTTATAATGTCCTGTTAATGAATAACGATTAGCAAATAATCTTTTACATATACGACATTTATATAAACCATCACTTGTTCGAAGACTTGTATCCATAGCTTCAGATTTTCCAGTAGGTAAATCAGAAAGATTTGAAGATCTCAAGTCTAATTGTAATGAAGTTTTATAGTTAGTTGAAAAATTATACTTTAAGTTCATATGATCAACTTCACTAAAATTGTAAGTTTCATTTGAATCAAGAGGATAAGATATAGCTCTTTGTAATGAAGAAACAGGCGATTGAGAAATATTTGAAATGCAACAGTTATCATCTTTTGAATTGATATTCACTGGAGATCTTCTGCACAATGATGAAGAATGTAGTGAAGTAAAGGCTGTATAAAGAAAAATAAGTCATAATTAATTGGAAGTATAAATATAAACCACAATATGTTTATACACATAGTTCCTTTTATTTTAAAGAGAGCAAGAACAAAAATTGGTGCAGAATAATATGAATTCATTTTATTTCGTCAGGTTCTCATCAGCTGCTTACAACCCAAAGTATTTGAAAATCAGAGTTATTACAGTTATTGACATACTTATACATAAGATAGTGATCAATGATGAATATATGTATGGTGATGTAGCAAGAATCCCGAAAGAGTTAGTGAGGTCATAAAAATGTTGCTTCGAATAAATAAAGTCTGGGAGGGAAGGTTCCAGAACATTGAAATAGCGATTAGAACTCATGGAATTAAAAAACACATTAGGTGATTATATAATGAAGTAACTGAAAATAGATTAATGGTAATAAAAAAAGATATAGATTGAAATCAGTCAGTTATGAATGCTGTATTTTAAAACTCAGGAAGAGTTGGAATAGTGAATGACATAATAAATAAATAAATAAATAAATAAAAGGGAAGGGGTTAATGTTACCAGGGCAAAGAAAGATTTATTACTGTTTCTTTTTGTATACATAGATGTATGTATAACTCAGTTATGCCGGGAAATTTTCATGTTATCCTTGATACTATCCAACTATCAAGTCTATATATGTTATATATTATAATAATGACAATATATTATACAACAAATACTGTCAAAAATTTCCTTCATCAAGTTACAAAAATATAATAAGAAAATCTATTGTATTGTAAATATTACACAAAGTGAATCAAGAAATGTGTACCTAACATACTACTCAAAGTAGGTATCATTACCAGGATTTGATTTGATAATTTCGAATAAATTGAGCATTGGGTAGATTGTTATAAATAAATAATATATTTGTAATATCCCAAAGAACTCCGCCTGGAGTCCCTTTCGGGGGGCTACTGCCGGTCCCAAGCCCGGATAAAGGAGGAGGGTTGGGCATGGGGTTAGCGATCCCATCCCGTAGAAAACTAACTCGCTAAAAAAACGCTAACCAGAAAAAATTATTCAAACCATTTAAACTCTGCCCTGGGAGTCAGAAGGTCTTCGTTTAGAAGAATTATGACGCCTCATGATGAAAGCCGAGTTTCTTCGGAAGTCACGAGGCCGATGCCCCTTCTGACAACCAGAGCAACCATTTACTTAGGTACATGGAATGCTCGCACAATGTGGGAGACTGGGAGAGTTTTCCAAATTGCTGCAGAAATGAGGAGATACAATTTAGAGGTGCTTGGGATCAGTGAAACACATTGGACGCAAGTTGGACAACAACGACTAGCTTCAGGTGAGCTGCTGTTATACTCTGGACATGAACAAGAAAATGCCCCACATACACAAGGAGTTGCATTGATGCTGTCCAAACAAGCACAAAATGCACTTATAGGATGGGAATCTCATGGACCAAGGATCATCAAAGCCTCCTTCAAAACAAAGAAAACGGGGATTACAATGAACGTCATCCAATGCTACGCGCCTACCAACGACTACAATGAAGACGCTGAAGATCAATTCTACGATAGGCTGCAGTCAATCGTCGAGAAGTGCCCAACAAGGGACCTGACTATTCTGATGGGAGACCTAAATGCCAAGGTTGGAATTGACAACACTGGATATGAAGAGATCATGGGACGACATGGACTGGGAGAAAGGAACGAAAATGGTGAGAGATTTGCAAATCTATGTGCCTTCAATAAACTGGTCATAGGCGGGACTATATTCCCACATAAACGCACACACAAAACCACATGGACTTCACCGGATCACACCACACAGAACCAAATCGACCATATCTGCATCAACAAAAAGTTCAGGAGGAGGATGGAGGACGTGAGAGCAAAGAGAGGAGCCGATATAGCATCAGATCATCACTCGCTGGTCACCAAGATGAAATTGAAACTCAAGAGGCACTGGACAACGGTGAGGACAATATCACAAAAATTTAATACGTCTCTTCTTCGGGATAATGACAAACTCAACTAATTCAAGATAACCCTCAGCAATAGATTTCAGGCCTTTCATGATCTACTCAATGGAGAAGAAACTACTATGAAGAGCTACTGGAAAGAGATAAAAGAGGCAATCACTTCAACATGTCATGAGGTTCTGTTCCAAAAGAAGCACCATCACAAGGATTGGATCACGGTCGATACACTGGATAAGATTCAAGAAAGGAGGAACAAGAAAGCAGCAATCAATACCAGTCGAACAAGAGCAGAAAAAGTCAAGGCACAGGCTGAATACACAGAAGTAAACAAGCAAGTGAAGAGGAGCATCAGAACTGACAAACGTAAATTTGTGGAAGATTTGGCAATGACGGCGGAAAAGGCTGCGAGAGAAGGAAACATGAGACAACTGTATGAAACAACAAAGAAACTCTTTGAAAATCAACGTAAACCAGAATGACCAGTGAAAAACAAGGAAGGCAAGATAATCACCAACATTGAAGAACAACGAAACAGGTGGGTAGAACACTTCAAAAAACTCTTGAATCGACCAGCCCAACTGAACCCACCCAACATCGAAGCAGCACTCACGGACCTCCCAATTGATGTTGGCCCACCAACAATTGAAGAAATCAGCATGGCTATCAGACAAATCAAGAGTGGCAGAGCAGCAGGACTAGACAGCATTCCAGCAGAGGCACTGAAAGCAGACGTAGCGGCAACTGCAAGGATACTCCAAACTCTCTTCAAAAAGATCTGGGATGAGGAACAGGTACCAAAAGACTGGAAAGAAGGACTTCTAGTCAAAATACCAAAGAAAGGCGATCTCAGCAACTGTGACAACTACAGGGGAATCACTCTTCTTTCAATACCAGGAAAAGTCTTCAACAGGTTATTGTTAAACAGGATGAAGGACTCCGTAGACGCCCAACTTCGAGACCAACAGGCAGGATTCCGTAAGGATAGATCGTGCACAGACCAAATCGCAACTCTACGGATCATTGTGGAACAATCAATTGAATGGAATTCATCACTCTATATCAACTTCATTGACTACGAAAAAGCATTTGATAGCGTGGACAGAACAACCCTATGGAAGCTTCTTCGACACTACGGCGTGCCTCAGAAAATAGTCAATATCATAGGGAATTCCTGTGATGGATTAAACTGCAAAATCGTGCATGGAGGACAGTTGACAAAGTCGTTCGAAATAAAGACCGGTTTCAGGCAAGGTTGCTTACTCTCACCCTTTCTCTTTCTCCTGGTGATCGACTGGATAATGAAGACGTCAACATCTGAAGGGAAACACGGGATACAGTGGACAGCTAGGATGCAATTGGATGATCTAGACTTCGCAGATGATCTGGCTCTTCTATCGCATACGCAACAACAAATGCAGGAGAAGACAACCAGTGTAGCAGCAGCCTCAGCAGCAATAGGTCTCAATATACACAAAGTAAAAGCAAGATTCTTCGATACAACACAGCATGCACCAATCCAATCACAATTGACGGAGAAGATTTGGAAGATGTAAAAACCTTTACATATTTGGGCAGTATCATCGATGAACACGGTGGATCTGATGCAGATGTGAAGGCACGGATTGGCAAAGCAAGAGCAGCATATTTACAACTGAAGAATATCTGGAACTCAAAACAATTGGCAACCAACACCAAAGTCAGAATTTTCAATACAAATGTCAAGACAGTTCTACTGTATGGGGCGGAAACCTGGAAAACTACGAAATCCATCGTCCAAAAGATACAGGTGTTCATTAACAGTTGTCTACGCAAAATACTTCAGATCCACTGGCCGGATACGATTAGCAACAACCTACTGTGGGAGAGAACAAATCAGATCCCAGTGGAGGAAGAAATCAGGAAGAAGCGCTGGAAGTGGATAGGACACACATTGAGGAAAGCACCGAACTGCGTCAAAAGGCAAGCCCTCATATGAAATCCTCAAGGTCGAAGGAGGAGAGGAAGATCAAAGAATACATTACGCCGAGAAATGGAGATGGATATGAGAAAAATGAACAAGAATTGGATGGAACTAGAAAAGTGGGCCCAGGACAGAGTGGGTTGGAGAATGCTGGTCGGCGGCCTATGCTCCATTGGGAGTAACAGGCGTAAGTAAGTAAGTAAGTAAGTAAGTAAGTAAGTAAGTAAGTAAGTAAGTAAGTAAGTAAGTAAGTAAGTAAGTAAGTAAGTAAGTAAGTAAGTAAGTAAGTAAGTAAGTAAGTAAGTAAGTAAGTAAGTAAGTAAGTAAGTAAGTAAGTAAGTAAGTAAGTAAGTAAGTAAGTAAGTAAGTAAGTAAGTAAGTAAGTAAGTAAGTAAGTAAGTAAGTAAGTAAGTAAGTAAGTAAGTAAGTAAGTAAGTAAGTAAGTAAGTAAGTAAGTAAGTAAGTAAGTAAGTAAGTAAGTAAGTAAGTAAGTAAGTAAGTAAGTAAGTAAGTAAGTAAGTAAGTAAGTAAGTAAGTAAGTAAGTAAGTAAGTAAGTAAGTAAGTAAGTAAGTAAGTAAGTAAGTAAGTAAGTAAGTAAGTAAGTAAGTAAGTAAGTAAGTAAGTAAGTAAGTAAGTAAGTAAGTAAGTAAGTAAGTAAGTAAGTAAGTAAGTAAGTAAGTAAGTAAGTAAGTAAGTAAGTAAGTAAGTAAGTAAGTAAGTAAGTAAGTAAGTAAGTAAGTAAGTAAGTAAGTAAGTAAGTAAGTAAGTAAGTAAGTAAGTAAGTAAGTAAGTAAGTAAGTAAGTAAGTAAGTAAGTAAGTAAGTAAGTAAGTAAGTAAGTAAGTAAGTAAGTAAGTAAGTAAGTAAGTAAGTAAGTAAGTAAGTAAGTAAGTAAGTAAGTAAGTAAGTAAGTAAGTAAGTAAGTAAGTAAGTAAGTAAGTAAGTAAGTAAGTAAGTAAGTAAGTAAGTAAGTAAGTAAGTAAGTAAGTAAGTAAGTAAGTAAGTAAGTAAGTAAGTAAGTAAGTAAGTAAGTAAGTAAGTAAGTAAGTAAGTAAGTAAGTAAGTAAGTAAGT